TCTGACTTCCACCATTAGTTTCCCATTCCACATTCCTTACATCACGGTTCCTCCCTGCCTTTTGATGCTCTTCCTTTGGAGAAGTGTTGCAAGAAAAAGGCAAACCTGAGTGGCTGAAGCCCTGAAGGGATAGGGAAGATGGAAATGTGAGAAGATGACAATGCTGGATACTCCCAGTTCCTGCAGGGCCCCTTTCCCAGCATTTGAACTTTTACTCATCCTGGAATGCCAAAAAAAGAACAACCACTGCTTAGTTTCCTGCTAATGATGAATGGGAAACTCCACTTTTCCTTCTTCACCAGCGATTCCCTGCACCAAACCTTCTTCCTGCAACTTTGTCCATAAGCCAAATAACCACTAAACACCTGTTCTTTCTTAGGGATGGAAACAGAACAGAGATTCTTCTTTCTTGACACAAGCTGCTTTAGCACACTACTAGACCTGCAGAAAGTCACTTGATAATTTAAAACTAAGACATAGAACCGGATGATTTAGTTTGAATCATGGCCAAACCCTCACAGACGTTTGACTGCAAAAGTTCTTTGTACCCCAAGGAGTTGAAAAGTTCATGAACATTCTATGCCACCAGAACCACTCAGACCATCAGTATCAGAGACTTTACGGACATAGGCAGAATATAAACTAGACTAAGTTCTTCACATCTTCCAGTAGGAGGTTGTAAGAAAACCATTGAAAGTGGCCTTTAGCAAATCTCTTCCAGCCTCCACCTAAGAACATAAGAACATAAGAGATGCCAATGTTGGATCAGGCCAAAGGCCCATCCAGTCCAACACTCTGTATCACACAGTGGCCAGAAATACCAGGTGCCATCAGGAGGTCTAGCAGTGGGGCCAGGACATTAGAAGCCCTCCCACCGTTGACCCCCCCAAGCACCAAGATGACAGAGCATCACCTGCCCCAGAGTCCCTATCTATACCTTGTGGCTAATATCCACTGATGGACCTCTGCTCCATATGCTTATCTAATTCCCTTTTGAAGCCGTCCATGCTTGTAGCCGCCACCACTGCAAAGCAATCTACTTAATAGGCATTGTGAAACTAAAGGGGTAAAGAAAAGATGCCACTAGGGAGGTGTGAAACCTCCTATTTCATTTTTGCAGATATTTCCACATCCTTGAAAAATAACCCCACACATTCAGGATATTCATTTGCAAAAGCTGCTATGGAATGTTTGCAAGGCATTCTAAATAGATTATTATCTTGGAACCTGACATAACTATACCATTTAATTAACGGTCCAAGAGAGAGAGGTTGCCAATCCCTAGTTGGGACAGGGGATCCGCTGGTTTGGAGTCTCCCCACCCCACTTCGAGGCTGTCAGAAAGCAGGGGGGCTGTGCTGCCCTCTAAAATTCTTTCAAGCACATAGCTGCTTTTCACATAACAAAATTGTGTAAATTAGAAAGGGAGAGGGAACAGAAAAAATACAAAAGGTGTACGCTCTCATCTGATGAAACCTTGAGTGAAACAGTCTATTGAGCGCTGTACGTCAGAAAAACTTGAGACCAATTTACTTCAAAGAAAACAGCTTGAATGATTTGTTCTTCACTGGATAATTAAAAGAAGATATATTTTTCTCTCTAACAAGGTTTCGTTATCAGATCACGGTTGTTTTTCCTTACAAAGTTCCAGGTGGCAGCTGGAGATCTTCTGTGATTACAACTGATCTCTTGGAGGCAGAGATCAGTTCGCCAGGAGAAAACGCCCACTTAGGTGAACTCTACGGCATAATACCTCCCCTTTGCAAACCCCGCCTTCCTCATGTTCCACCTCCAAAATCTCCAGGCATTTCCCAATCCAGAGGTGGCAGCCCTACGTACTGAGAATGTTTTAAACCAGACTGGTACTCAGCAGCCTGTATGGTTAGCAGTTGACAAAGCGGCCAGTGCAATGACTGTAGGGATATCTTGGATGAAAAGATGCCTGCATTTCTGGCAGACCCCGGGATACATCCCAAACAAACCTTGTATGGTGAACTTATGTTTCCACTACAAAAAAAAATAATAATGCACCATTCACATGACTGTACAAATTGTTCAGTCTAGACATGTCTTTGCAGAATTCCAGCTAAACTGATTGAACAAGGGCATAGAAAGCTACCGGGTATGCCCCCTAGTAAACCTGGCGGTGAGTGATCCATGTCCAGGAATAAGATAATCAATCCATCTTGATCAAAGGTTTCCCCACATACCCAATCCAGACATAACATTGCCCAGTCTTTACAATTAGGACTGCATGGACTCAAATGATCCCCCCCCCTTTTAGGTTTGCATTCTCATCCCTTCTCATGAGCAAACGTCTCTCTCTAATTCTCTTTTTTGTGGAACAAAGTTTGAATGTGTGCATGTGCATGAAACCTTATACCCAGAATTCATAATATACTTTATTGTGTTTCAATGGAACTTTGTTATTGGTAATCATTCCTCTACTCTGTACCTTTTCTAGTTATATCATATCAATAAACGACTTTGTGTTTTGTTTTGTTTTTTTAAAAAAACACCTTATACCCAGAATTAAACTTTGTTGGTCTTAAAGGTGCCACTGGACTCAAACTTTGTTCTGTTGCCACAGACCACCATGGCTACCCACCCAAATCTCTTTTTTTGTGGTTAGTGTTAAATCTGTGGCATGGTTAATTATGTAAAACCCACTCATAACCATGGTTTTGGTTGGGAGATAACCATAGTTGATAAAAGCACTGCAGATGTAACACTAAGCACTCTTGGCTCTAAAAGTGAAAGGGAGGGCAGGTGAAAAAGAGAAATGAAAAAATCAGCAAGGTAGACACCAACTCTTAACCATGGTTAGGAGAGTCAGTGGCATTATTCACTGCCGTGTTATTTATAATATACTCGAACAGCCAAAAGAAAATATTTCTAGTAAGATTTGCCCAGGCCTGTTCATTTTTCTAGGACTAGATGTTCTGGTCCAACTTTGGAAAACAGGTGAGGCTGGAAAGTTAACTTATATTTTCAGATCTAGCACAGAAACCACAAATAGGAACTACACTACAATGCGGTATTATTCAGAACTCCCTGGCCCTTTTGCAAGGGCATATCCTCTACATGACTTAGGATGTTAATTGACTAAGCTGAATTTTATTTCCTGACCAACCTCTTCAGCCTTGTGTGAGTCATACACTGATTTACGCCAGCTCTAGAATCTTTAAAGTCAGTCTATGATGCTCTCTGAACGTGGCCCCTTCGTAACAGCAACACGGTCTGCGGGGAAAAGTGAAGGAAGGCTTGTGCCATCATTGGGGTCAGCCCAAGGCCAGGATGGCCTCACAAAAACCAGGACAGATCTCGCTACAGATTTCCTGAACAGCTTGTCATCTACAAGCCAGGCACAGAGACAGTGTTCCATCATGTGCTACGTGCTGCCACACATCAGAGAAACCAATTTTGAAGACACAGGCTGGTTGCAAAATGGAAAGCTCATCAACTCTTATGTCAGCACTCAATTAGAGATACTGCAGATTTTGCCACAAACATGTTTGACTCTGTCAATCGTACCATGTCCTACGGTGGCAATCACACGTGAGCCGATCACTCAGTATGTTCGGTTCGTGCCAAGCAGCTGCAATGCTGAACCAGTTTGCATTCGGTTCTTCTGAAACCGCAACAGGGCAGTTAGCAGCAAGGATGGCGGGGTAGCAGAAATCAATTGGGCTGCGTGAGAATGCGCACGCTCGGAACTCCAGTTCTGCTGCACTGCCCGGTTAGTAAGGATTACAGTGAAACAACCTGCCAAACACCCATGAAGAGATAGATGAATTATAGAACCGACTGCTGAAAATCAGTTCTCTGCTTGCAATTAGCAAATGTGAACAGAACAGGTGGGTATTTGAGCATTGTTAGTCTTAACATAGAACTGGAAGGTTTTGTTTAGCCTTCACAGGATTTCCAAGCCTGCGCTTCATCTCGTCATCCCATGCTGAGCCCTTGAAGAACAGCTCTGCTAGGATTACTCTGCTAAACTAAAGCCCTCACAGACAATAATAAATAGCTGAAGAAAGGCTGGGTGGTTCATCTCCCTACACCCATGTCAACCTGCTATGAGGGAGGCTGGTACTGAGAAACTGCAGGAGGGATATTATTAGAATGTGAAGAAGGGATAGTGGGTGGCAGTCTGGGAATGCATTCAGATGCCAAGACATATAATGAGAAAGTTGGTATAGTGTGCTCAACCAGCTAGTTTAGCAGACTTCTGCAGTTCACAGCTCTCCTCCTTGCCAAACAAGACGAGTATTCAAAGTTTCCAAAGGCAGACTGATCAGAGACAGTGTGGTGTAGAGGTTAAAATCTCGGGCTAAGATCTGGTAAACTCAGGACTGAATTCCTACTTTGCCATGGAAGCTTGCCGGGGGACCTCGGACCCGTCACACATTCTCAGTCTAACCCACCTCACAGGGTTGTTGTGATGATAAAATGGAGGAGAGGAGAACGATATAAGCCACTCTGGGACCCCATTGGGGAGAAAGGCGGGATATAATTGAAGCAAATAAGGAGATAAATATTAAAGCTTAATCAGTCCTTCGAGTTTCCAAAATTAATTTTTTCTGATGAAGAATTCTGCAGAATTCAAAAACGCGTTCCATCTTAAAACCAGGGGCTGCCCCATAAGCAATACTATCCCACACGTATTTATCATCTGTTTCATGAATAGGGCCACCGACAAGTACATAATAGGAAAGTGCAACGAATCTCATTGTGGAAAGTGAGCAGGAGCAGTCAGGGATGTCCTACCATAGCAGCATGATGGAGACGGACAAAAAATTCAGTCTGATTCAGTCAGCAGAGGCCTTCCCCTAGGGTAGCCTGCTCCGTGGGACTCCACCCTAAGGACATCCTTGGAACTTCACCCTGACACTCTTTTAAAAACTAGCCACCCACGTCACTTTCCTTCAAGTGAGTAATCCAAAACTTCCCACCAAATCCTTCCTTGAAGGCGTCGGCTGTTGCTCGCCCCGCCACCCCATTCTCCCATCTCTTAAGCGGGATTCATCAGGGAAGGAACGCCGTGCCCTGGCTGGCATGGCTGGCTCTCTGCTCAAAACCACAGGCTCCGTCTGACACGCCCCTTTGGCAGTCAGGACAGGAAAAGCAGGGGGAGTGGAGGGGGAAGCGGGGTGAGCTTTAAATACCAGCCAGATGGAGCTGGGAACTGCAGCCTGAGCTGGCAGGAGACGCCGAGAGCACCACAAAGAACAGCAAGGTGAGCGAAACAAGCCTGTTTCTTCTTTTGCGGCAAACTAGGCCCCATCCAGACTCCCACTTCTCTCTGTTTTCTAGCCGTTAACAGCCTCTGAGATGTCAGCCAGTGAATGACGGGGGCAGTCCGATAAGGCCTTCCATCTTTTCTCAGTCCTGGCCCCACTCGTCTTATTTTGCTTCCTTTTCTAGGCAGTTGCCGAAATTCTTGTTAGGTCAGGTTTTCAAGACGGGCTCTTCTCTCAGCATCATTCCATCACTGTATCCTCGCTATGGCATTCCCCTTTTGATCCAATGTCCCTGGGGGAGTCTGCATATGAACAGGAACACCTAACTGCATTGAATCTAGAATGAGGACATGGTGGGCCTTCCATGGCATTCCTCCCTTCAGCCTTCATTTTTTACCCTCTCTCCTCCTTTCAAAGGACCTGAACCCAAAGATTCTTTTTTTCCCCCAGCCCAGGTGGGAAAGCCCCTTTTGATCCTTGCTGAAACAGCCAACAGGTCCCTTACTCCAGTGTTTCCTAAGGTTGCCAACTCTAGGTTGGTAAATTCTTGTAGATTTTGGGAGGATGTGCAGCTTGGGGAGAATAGGGACTTCCAACAGGGTGTGATGCCATACAGTCCACCCTCCAAAGCAGCCATTTTCTCCTGGGGGACTGATCACTGAGGCCTGGAGATCATTTGTAATGCTGGGGGGGGTGTCTCCAGGCCCCACCTGGAGGTTGGCAACCCTACTAATGATATTCAGGCCCTGCTTCCTGAAATAACCCCCACTCCCGAAATAACATTCTCTTTCTGCCCTCCAGGACACACCTGGGACCCTTTCTTCTCTCCTCCTCTTCTCTGACAAGAAAATGGAATCAACTAAGATGTATGGACTCCTAGCAGCCAGCTTCCTCCTTCTCCTCACTCTGCTGGGGGATCCCACTGCAGCCTGCTCCTGTGCTCCCAGACATCCTCAGACTGCCTTCTGCAATGCTGACATCGGTGAGTTTCTACCAGAGGCAATGACACACACCCCCTTCCCTGCAGGCTCTGGCTTGACCAGTACGGACACCCTTTCCACGCCAGACCCTGATGTGCCCTCCAGCAGAGACACATCTGATCCTAGTACAGCCTCCCATACGACCCAATATATTGTGCCCTGAGGGGGCTAGATAACTCTTGCTTTCTCATGAAAAGGAAAGGCATTGATTCGTTAAGTCTGTAGTTCGGATGCAAACACAGGATGGAGAGAAACGGGCTGTCCAAAATGGGAGCTTGCGTTTATTTGCAAGCCTCCATCTTTCAGAATTTCTAACACCAATTCACATTCAGTTAACCCAACTGAACTAGTTTTATGTCATCTTAACGCCAATTACATACTAAGAATTATAGCGGATGGTTGTTTCTTGCAACCATTTAGAATACTTTACTTTGGACCAGTTCCCAGTGTGAATGCATACAATTAGAGAATCAGTGGCTACTCTTGCTTCTGCGTGGGCTATTTGGTCTGCCTTTGGGGCTGATGGGGAGTGGATTTTTTCCCCCTTGCCTCCACACAGCATCGTAGCTCTTTCGTGGCTTTTCCTTGGCCATTCTGAGATCTTTCCAAAACCTGCCTTATTATGATATTTCTGGGAAGACTGCAACAAAACCAGGGTGGCTTCCATGTGGATGGGAAAGTCAGATTTCCCCCCATCCCTCCCACATTGGCACTATTTCCCTGCCCCAATCCCCCATGGTGACCAATGCCCTCGCTCCTCCCTGTGCCACCAGTGGGCTTTTCATTCTTTTTTTCTTTCAAAAGGGAATCGATGGATTGCTATAGCATTGCTATAGCATCTGTCAATCACTGATATTTTAAACATGAAAAAAATCTCGGGGGGGGGGCTGCCACAGGGGTCTAGGCTTGAGGCAAGGGAAAGGCAGAGAAGGACTATTAGTCCTGTGCTTGAACCGGCAGCTGCTGTGGCATAGAAAGGACCTCTCTCAGCATGCCTCTAGCCTCTGGAGATAGATTCAGATGGGTAGCCGGCCATGTTAGTCTGTCTGAAGCAGTAGAAAAGAGCAAGAGCCCAGTAGTACCTTAAAGACT